GGAAAAAGAAATTTTATCTAATGCATAGAGATACATGCATAGACATCCTTTTTAGTTTTTATCTTCAACAGCCCCTCCCGAAAAAAAGAATTTTGTCTAACGCTAAATGTATGAGATTATCGCATACCTACACAGATATTTCTTTTTTCAAAGGTAGGAATGGGAGTAAAAAGAGATATACTTTTTTTAATAACGTAATATATTTTTCAGAGTGTTATTTCACTTTTTCATAGCCTCATACATAATATTTTTCAAGGTGCACGCTAGCAACTCGCAATCAACGAGCGACTCACAGTCATAGTCGTTGCTTTCACATATCGCTTTTGTTGCATGATATATTTCAGTAATGTCCTTCTCTCGAAGAACATTTACAAAACTTCGAAATTTTACACTAACGAGATGCGTATTTTCAGACAACCATACATACATATGATCGATGCAATTTTCATAAGTAAATAATGTGTTCATAGTAGCAGGTTTCAAATATAAAGACTTATTAGATAATGTAAGTTTAATAATTTTGGAATCGCGCATCTTACAAAATTCCACTACCAAATCTTGAATCGACAGCGGAAATGGTTTGTCAGTTTGCAGAAGCCGTTGGATGTCGAGACGTTTTTCCATCAGCTTCCTCCAAGTTTCTGTAGGTAATATTAATTGATTACCGCAATTGTCACCGATGATTATTTCCACGGTAGGCACAGGTCCTACGTTGATCCCAATCTCCAAATATTTATACGACGTTGCAGTCAGAGCATATCTGCGTCCCAGGATACGAACAGTATGACGTGGTTGCGAAATACTATAAAAAAATATAACAAAAGTTAAATGTATGAAAAATAATTTAAACGTGCATAAAAAAATTTGCATTGATACTTACTTTTCAAATCTTTTCTTGCACGGTGGGATGTCATCATGTTGAACGGGCAAGTAGTAATTTGCGTGTTTAGCGTTCACCTCAGCACCGTACATTTTTTGATTTTTTTTACTGTATTCGGGAACTATCACCGAACGTTGTCTATACAGAACGATTGACGAAACCATAGTCTAAATCTTACTAATATAATAGACAAAGTCCCCCACCAACATTTTTTATCCCCTCTCTTATTTGTCTTCAGAATTGTTAACACATGTATTGATACATTTTCCGAAACTAGATAATAAATCCATGGCACAGCGTCGTAGCCAATCAATTAAGCAATCATATGTCGATGAAACAATGTCAGCTATGATGCATTACAGCGCAAAATAAAATGATGTATAGTGTTTATTACTGGTATTTTTTACCAATATATTATTACCGGCATATTTATAATTTTTTAACTGATATTATCGACCCTTCGTCTTTGTCCCGTTTTAGCATATTTTAGAATATTCGAGACCTTTTGAGGAGAACATTCGGTTCCCGAAAAAAAGAATTTTACCTAATGTATGCCTACATAG